AGAGACAGCAGGGTCAGGAGCCGCTGGGGCAAACAGGATAGGTGGAACCCAGCAATTTCACATGCTGGTCAGAAGGCAGGGGCCCTGGAGGATACCAAGGAACAAGTTCCCTCTGCTGTATGCCCATTTTCCATCCTCACAGCCTCAGCCTGCCCAGGTGAGAGAAGTCCGGTGGCTAAGATCCTTCTCGCTATCACTGTGGAGCAGTGTGGCCTGGCAGTGTCAGGCCCAAGGCAGCCACAGTGGCTCAAAGCCTCTGGTGCTGGATGCAGACACTCTGGCTGGCATTCTCAGTGTCCCCTACAGATTCCAGCCACACTGCTGCCCTGGGGCCCACCTAGGTCAGCCTGTGGACACAGCTCAGTAACACGGAGACACCAGAAATGGTTGTACTGACTGTATCCACATCCCCATTCCTGTGGTACAGACCACGTTGGCAGCACACGTCTGCCTCCCTCCCAGACAGACACTCACCTGGAACAAGTCATTCTGGATTTCCAGCACCTCTCTGGGCAGGTGGGCGATGCAGACTGCCACCATTGGGTGACAATGGATGATGGCCAAGTGCACCAGCCTGCAGGAAGGGAAGAGATCAGTGTTACCATGCCCAGGCTGCTGCTGCTACTGCCACTCCACCAGGAGGTGAACACTTCCATGCAATCACAACTGGAGAAAAGACTGGGCCTGTGCCAGGCAGCCCCAGGCCTGTCTGAGCAGGCTGTGCCTCCTACGGGAGAGTCTGCTCCAGGAGATGCTCCAGTGTGCCTGTGCCAGCAGAAACTGGTGCAGCTCTGGCACGTTGACTAGGCTCCGCCAAGGCTGGCCCCACCCACTGTCCAAACAGTCGCACCCTGTAACATAGGAGTGTCCCCCACAGGGCAGGCATGGGTCCAGCTAGTGGTGTCTTTTACAGGCGGGGTACAGCGCAGTCATAGACAAATAGAAAATAAGGTTTGGAAGGGACCTTGGGAAGTCATCTAGTGCAACCCCCTGCTCAAAGCAGCACCATCCCCTACTAGATCATTCCAGCCAGGGCTTTGTCAAGCTGGGCCTTAAAACCTGCCAGGGATGTCATCATGACAGAGGGCTCCTCCCCTACTCTGAACAGGTCTTCTGACCCCTCAAAGCCTCACCTGCAGTCCCTGCTGCTTATTCCCCATGTCATCTCAGGCACCTCCCCAGTCACTCATGCTGCAGGTAGCTTGGGCACCCTACAGGAAGGGTCTTGACCCTATCAGCCCACAAGAGCCAAGAGTTTTACTGCCACTTGAGATTCCCACACCCCTGAAGTGCAGCCAGCTCTAGTGTGCAGCTCAGCAGCCAAGTACAGTATACGGAGAGGGGGTGACAGAGGATGCTAGAGCAGTTCTTGCAGTGAACAGACCCAGATGTCCCTGCAGAGCAAGCCCCATACATAGCAATTTTCACAAGATTCTCAGGGTGCAGACACAGCAAGGTTTGGAGCCCTTTCAAAAAGACAGCAGCTGGTACTTTAATTGTTCCCTGTGCCACATTCAAATGCAAAACCCTATACTCTCAGAGGTACAAATGACCAGTCAGCGAGTCCAGGGAGCTTGGAATCTGCTCCAGAGAGGCGGGACCAGGGACTGGCTGCAGTGGGCTGGAGCCTAGTACGATCTGTAGCTGCCAGGGGATTTCCACACCCCTCCTCCCTGCAGCCACAACACTTCTGCTTTCCTGGCTCAAGGACAACCAGTGGGGGCAGGGGACAGATCTGGGAGGGGTCCTGGCAAGTAGCCCAAAATAACCTGTAAATCACCTCCAAGACATTGCTGGCAGTGCCCCAGCTAAGAAGGAACAGGGACATGATGTATAGGAGGCAGCAGAAAGGTTCCCAGACCCCTGTAAGGAATGTCTTAGTATCGGCTATGCTAGGGACTGATGGCAAGGGTAGATATACATTTTTAAAGACTAATGAAATAAAACATATATCTATATACAGAGAGAGAAAACACAACTTTCATGAACCCAAGCTCACTTCAGATCCTAGGGACTGTCATGGCTCAGGACCCAGCCTCCCATGCTGGAAGAGAGCGCCAGTTCCCCCATGCTGGAGCCTGACCCCAGTCCTTGCACAGAGCTTCCCACTCTGGGGCTGTGGGAAGACCTGTATCTCACAGACCACAAGAACACACGGGCCACACTTGCACAAGAGTGTCAAGATGGTCTCCACTCTCTCCCAAGCAGTCAGAACAAAAGTGAGAGAGGTTCAAGCTCTCGAAAGTAATTTTCAGCCCTGCAGGGAGGCTATGATTAGCCTCCTCAACTTCACCAGCCACCTTCAGGCAAGTAAAAAATGGCCCCCCAATCTGCCCCCACCTATACAATTATAGAAGCAGCCAGGGCACTCCTGGCCTTCTCTTAGCCCACCCACGCTGCTGAGGTCAGGCCTGCACTGGTGGAGGGGGCAGAAGCAAGGAGTGGGTGGGTTGGCTTTTTAAGTCACAAAGGGAGCCTTGCGTTCCGTTCTGATCACAGCAAGACCTCTCATCTCCCAGGGGAGTCAGCAGGGCAGCTCATGTGAAAGCCCTGCCTTGGGTGGCGGACCACGGGGGTGGGGCTTCCTACCTCCTACCAACACATGGGTCCAGGTGCTGCCACAGCTCAGCAGCAGGGAAAAGTTGATGTTTACCTGCAATAGAGCACAGTCCCTCCTGCTTGTGCTCCAGCTCATCCTGTCTGAACTGTCTCAGGGGCAGTGTCTGTGTATAGTGGCTAACAGATACAGCCACTATATACATGCCCCAAGCCCCACAGGGCAGGCATGGGAGGTCTAGGGACCGGAGTCCTCAACAGCACCCCGGGCCTGCTGGTTTGTGTAGGTGGTAGTTTCTTAGAGCATGTGGAGGGCTGGGGGGAAAGGGTGTTCAGCTCTGAGCTGCAGGGAGGCCACCTGGGCCTACGATGCACTTGAAGATCTGCAGGAGCTCTGCAGAGACTTGACTTTGCAGCCTGCTTCATGGCAGTGCCACAGGTTCAGCCCTGCCTAGAAAATAGGGATGGGGAGTTCAGGTGTGTTAGCACCAGGATGCAAGGGACCTCAAGCCAGGCCCTGCTGTGGGAGACAGAGCAGCATTAAGCAGCAGGTTCCCTTGCTGCCCACCCCTGGGGGACATCTGTGCCTGAAGGCAAAATCTCTGGGGAAGCCCCAGGTCATGCAAGCGGAGGGAATTCCCCTGCCCCATTAAAGGGAGCAGCCACCCACAGCATGTCTGAGTGCCACATGGGGAGGGCTCCCTGCAAGGCTGGAGCTCCCCCTGCGTAGGGGGATGGAGAATGACATCTGGGAGCCACTTAGTCGGGAAAGCAGGCTTGACTCAGCCTCTGGTGTGCAGAGAAGAGAGCAGTTTCCACTGGGCACCTCTCTGGGGTTGGGGATGCTAGGGGGCTGCTGCTGCTCAAGTTGGAAGTGCACTTACAGAGTTATGCGCCATGCTGTCTCAGTGGTGAAAATGCTGATGCCAAGCTCAATTAGCAGCTCCCACTATCCTCAGTACTCAGGAAAAAGCCCTACGAGACCTCCAGCCAAGCCTCTGTGCAGACAGACATTCTTGATGTCATGTGCCCGCAGGCCTCCCTTTTCCATTTACCAGGGACAGTCCCTGTATCTTCAAACCCAGCTCCCACTGCGTCCCTGCCAGTCCCCATGTTTTCACCACAGAGGGCCACAAGCTCCTCCTCTGGCCTTCGCAGGTATGCAGTGATTAGGCGCTGGGCTCTGGGACTTTCCAAGGCAGTTCAGATTGAACTTTAGACCTCCGCTGCTTTCACTTTTCAGGGGCTAAGGCAGTCCCAGGGGACTGAGCCGAGGTGGTGTGAAAGTACACGGGTCTCTCCAAGGTCTGCCAACCCAGGCCCCCACCCTGAAATCCCCCAAACTCCTCTTCAGCAGCAACTGTACCCAGCAACCTGATAAAGGGGGGGAAAGGTGGCAAGCTGACAAACTCAGACTTGAAAGCCCCAAGCTAACACTCTGTCCCCACTTTCTCAGAAGGAAGAGCCTGATTTATGAGGGTCAACAGTTAGAGAAGTCAGGATTCCTGGATTCTGTTCCCAAATCCAAAGCCATGGATGTGGGAACAGAGGGGTTAAGCTTGAGAGGTAAGCTTGGGACCAGTTACGCCATAGCAGATGAGCATGACCATGTGGGCAAGGGTTTGGATAGTCTGGGAAACATACAGGCTGGGACTGAAAGCCAGGCACAGGAAAACATGAGAAAACTGTCCCTGGTTTGTCTAGCAGTAAATCTGCCCTCACTGGGCCAGCCCTGTGCTGTTGTAGCGGCTGTTGTGTGTTAGCTGCTATCCCTCATCCCTTTGGCCTTTCCATGGCTTAATCCATTTTGGTGCCCACGACCTGCCAGGTGGTGTGAGCCTGGCAGACAGAGATCCTCACTTGCTTTGCCTGCAAAAGCAAATGACCTACACTTTAAAGGCTTGTGAGGTACCTTGAGATCTTGAGCTGTAAGGAGCAATAGAGGCACACAAACAGTCACTAGTCCTGCTGAGTCAGAGCTGGGTTTTCACCTGTAACTAGGATGCATCTGGGACATTTGGGAGTTTTTCCCCACAGCTCAGGCCTGGACTTTGGCTTCTTGTTTCTGCAACTGCCCCTTTCCCCGCTTCTCCCATGGCAGATGCTGCCAACCCTGGGCTTCCTGAAACTGGGTGTAACAGGTCCCCCTCCCAAGTTCCCAAGTGGACCAGGGAAGCAGGGAATCACAGCAGAGGGCTAAGCCTGAAGTGCAGGAGGATGGTGTTTGGCCTTTGTAACATCAACAAGAAGTTGGAATTATCATCTCCCAGGGGTGTCAAACATGCAACCCATGGGACAGCTGTAGCCCATGGAGCCATTTCATACCGCCTGCTGGACTATCACCAAACTGCTAGGAGCTTGGGGGTGGGGGTGGTATCCTGCTGTAGAAAATCTGGACTCTGATGGACCCAGTTGCTGGAGGCAAGAGAGTGAGCACAACTGTCTCCACTTGGCCCCTCCTGCCAGAGCTCCACCACTGCCACACGGCCCGAATACCAGACTCACTGTTGTTGCAGCTGCTGGCTCCACAGATCTGGCTCATGGCACAGTTGATGTCTTATACTAAAGCAAGGAAACCCATTCCTGGGAGGTACAAGGCACAGAGGCCTCAGCCTCAGAGATGTCTTCCTTAGCCCCGACAACAATGCCTATACTGTCCCATGGACAAAAACGCCCTGTCTGACACAGCGGCAGCAGGGTAATGCTAAATCCAAGCCCTTATGAAGAGAGATTGGAGCTCTGCTGTAAAGCAGATAAGCCTGCAACACAACCCTCCACAAGCAAGGACATAAATACATGCCCTCTCTTCCTCGCCCACAGGCACACATCTTTCAATACCTGCAACAACCAGACACTGCACAACACACTTTGCACACTTTGCAACCTCTGCCCCTCCTCCAGCCTACTGTTCTCACCCTTTCACCCAAATATTTCCCTGCTGCAAACCCCAGAAGTGATGGACACAGGGAACAGCAAGTGGTTATGCTAGGAGAGGGAGGGGTGTTGGGAAAGGACTATGTGCAGAGGACAGATAAGATGGGTGATGGTAGCGCAGTCCAGTGGACAAATAAATGGACTGGGAGCTCTGTATCTGCCTCTGTCACTGGTCAGCAGTGGGCATCTGGACAAAGGGGCCTTTCTCCCCCCTTAGAGCCTGGGTTTCCTTTCCCACCTGTTGATTGCCTGGCCTATGTAGACTCTAAGTGCTTCAGGGCGTGCACATACAATCTCTGTGCATTTTTATAGTGCCTTCCATGAAAGTGGAGCCTTCAGATGATGCTGCCTTTCAAACAGTGATGATCACATTGCCACAAACTACTTAGAAAGACAGAAAGCAGAGGAGAAGGCAGACATTGCTGAGCTCTGAACCACTCAGCTGTGGATCAGAGTGTTTATACTGCTAATGGCACATGGGAAACCTGTTCAGGTCACCTAGGAAAGATCCAGGCTGTTGGAGCAGAAGGATCGGGGTCCTGCTCCACGGCACTTCTATCTGGTCTCACAACACAGTCTGATTTTGCTGCTGACCCTACAAGTGCCCTGGCATCTTACACAGCCCTGGATTAGTTGCAACACAGTCTGATTTTTACATTGTGCATGGGATGGCTAAGTACTGTGCAGAGT